GGTCCTCTTTTCGCGGCGGATCGGTAGGCCCCTCTGGTGTGTGGCATGCTTGGCACGGTCCTGGCTCTGTCCTTTACGGCTCCGCCCGCCTGTGCCGCCACGCTCGCACGTCGTCCTGGCTCCGCCTTCTCCGCCGCCGTCAGGTTCGCCACTGATGTATCCCGGACGCCATTTTTCCGCTCGCTGCCGCCGCCGCCGTTCGCCGAGACCGGCCCTCCAACGACCCCCAGAGTGGGGGGGGGGGTGCCCCCTACCTTCTAAGGTAGGTTCCCGATTTATCTACTCGCGCTTTAGTTGGTTAAGTGCGCTTTCGAACCGCTGGGTTGGCGGGAGCTGGGACAAAGGGCCAGGTGCTCATTCTGGCCACGGTGGGTATCGAACTGCTATACAGTTCGTAGATGTTATTACAGCAGGTGTTTAACCACCTGCACCACCGCTCCCTTTATACCATCTCCTCCCGTGAGCTCTCATTTTTGATATATAATCTCCAGGTGAGGGCTGGAGATCACTCAGAATTACAACTGCTCTCCAGATGGCAGAGATGTTCCCCTGGAGAAAATGGTGGACTCTGTGTTATTATACCATGCTTAGGTTGCCACTGCAAATTGATGCTAAGTGCCCAAGGCCAGGGCACTCTCCCAGAGCCTCTTTCCAGAGCTCGTTGTATTTATTTCCACAAGAGGCCTTATTCCTAGTAATAATATAAAGCAGTCTTTCAGAGATTGAAATCTATTGTATTTCCAGACCCTAACAATTATGGTAGTACTCATTTCCATGAAGATATCCATCAGATATGAGAGTCAACGTCATGAGCATACAGACATACAGAGCATACAGGAATTTCAAGACCTTGAGCCACTCAGTGATTTGATGTTATTACCTGATTTAAGATAAAATTGTGTCAAGAAAAGTTCTTGGAAGCCTGAATCTCCAAAACATTAATTGCATGAGAATTTGACCCATTTCAACCAAACAATATACAGGAACATTCTTGATTCAGAAATATCAGTTGCACTTAACAATGATGTTTTAGGGAACATAGAACATACAGGTTTATTAGTTATAAGTAGATGAAATGCAGAAAATATTAAATAAGTGTTGAGGAAATATAAGTGGTTGTTTTTTTAAAAAAAGAAAACATTTCTATTGATTTGGTCAATTTAAATGTAATGTACTTGTCTTACACTGTTTCTATTTTTCAACTCCTCATAAAGAGAACTAGTATAGCACTGTTATTTTTTTAAAAACCACTTCTTTACTAAATTATCTTAAAGCCATTGAAGTCAATAGGCTTACAAGAACATAACTCTATTTAGGATTACTCTGTTAATGCCACACAGTGCAAAGGAAACAACTTCCTCATTTTTCCCTGTTCCATCTAGCTTGTGTTCTAATGCCCTCTGGTGGCTGACTGCAGATTTTGCTGTGTGGAAAATGTTTAAATTCTCAGCTCAGAGTTCTATACAACCCCCTTTCAATGGCAACAGTATAATATCTTGCCTGCATGAAACAGACTGGGAATGAGGAATGCTGCAAGGGTAAATTGGGCTGCTGACAGTCCTCCATTTCCACCCAAATCCAACTAACTTTGTGCTCCTGACCAGGAAGCAGGGAGCAGAATAGCTTGTATCCCGCATAGAATTTCTGTGGGCCCAAGGATCTGGGGGTGATTTTCACCAATACCCCTCCTTCCCACATGAAACCTCTGATTTCCCTGTCCCGCAACAGCAGCATTTCAGGGGTGTTTGGGGCTGCTGTGAGGGGGGAATCTGTGACCCACCCCATGCCTGTGGAAATTCTAGGTGGAACCCAAGCTTTACAAGTCTAAAATATATAATACAAGTAAGGGACCTGCAAAGACTCGTAGGGTGGATCTTATTTATCCCTCCCCCACTATTTCTTCTTTCCCTTCCCTGAAAGCCCTCATAGCTTCTCTGCCTTTCCTGCTTCCTTCTCTTCTTCCCACCCACCAGCCTACTTATTTTTATCTGTTCCTATATCTTCAGCTTTTCCTCCTTTCCTCCTCCTAACAGCCTCTAACTAGGAAAACTATGGCCCAATAGCACTGGGTCAGCTACCAGGTGCATGTGTCAGAATCAGACCCTTGCCTTGTCGTTGGGTCAGTATACGTGCATGTCTGAATCTCTGATGTACATTGCTTTGCTCTGCTGAATGTTATCATTATTGCTTTTGTGGTGTATTCAAGTTAATGGGAAACTGTGTTTGTACTCAATCATTGAAACACCATGTAAAGCTTCATCCTGGGCAAGGATCCTAATCTTGCAATCCCTATCGGTAGCCCAGGAGCTGCCGACCAATCACCTACCATCAAGTTCCCTGAGAGGGAACATCTGTGATTGGACATTATTGTTACAATCCTATTGGTTGTTATGTACAGTAAGGCATGGCTACATTAGCCCGGGAGAGTTTGAAAGAAGCACAACTGCAGTGCTAAAGTTGTTCTGGTTGTTCTGTTCTAGTTGTGTTACATGTTGCTCAATAAAGCTGAATCACTTGCTGAAATCTGACTCTGACTCTTTGTTAAGTAGTCGACTTAACAGCTTTAGCCATTTCCACCCCGCTTGTAGTTCCCAAGCCTCATGTAGCACCTGCTAGCTTGGTTTCAATCTGTCAGCAAGGATCCTCCTCTGACATTCCTGAGAAGGAGAGATTGAGACAGGCCTGTGTGAACGTAGATAGCTGTGCTTGTGTAATACTGTAAAGTGGAACCTCCCCTGTGAAGGCTATGGGAAATTTTTTGCTATTCTCATTTCTCATGGCCTCAGGAGAGTATCATTTGATAAACATTCTCACCAAGTTAATTGAACTGTATTAACCTGCCTAATTAATATGTAATCATGACGTGTGTATGGAGGCTGGATCAAAAGTCTTGTAGTTCCTAATTCTGTAATGTCCCTCAGTTCTGTCAAAGAGTTTGACTTGTCTGCAACTTAACTGACTTTCTATAATAAAGCCAATCAAATGACTTATTGTGTCTGAGAGTTACTGCCCTGTCTGACAGCATGGTGGAATTTGTTCTGGCAATTCCTAGAGGTATGTGACATAACATCCAGGTTTTCTTTATGATGCCATGCTGTGTGCAATATCAGCATTTCTCCCCTCCCACCTCCTCTTGGACAGATGGCAGGAAACAATGGTTACTGGCAGGAGGCTAATTAATAGGAAACAGAGAGTGAGTATAAATGGGAAATTCTCTCAGTGGAGGGTGGTAAGCAGTGGGGTACCGCAGGGATCAGTACTGGGTCCGAAGCTTTTTAACTTGTTCATTAATGATTTGGAGTTGGGAATAAGCAGTGAAGTGGCTAAATTTGCCGATAATATGAAATTGTTCAGGGTGGTGAAAACTAGTGAGGATTGTGAGGCACTCCAAAGGGATCTGTCGAGGATGGGCAAGTGGGCGTCAATGTGGCAAATGGGGTTCAAAGTGGCCAAGTGCAAGGTGATGCACATTAGAGCCAAAAATCCTAATGATAAATACACGTTGATTGGCAGAGACTGACCAAGAGAGACATCTTGGTGGGAACAAGACGAACATGGTGGGCCTTTGATAGCAGCAAACCATATTCTCCATTACCGAGAAGAGTGAGTGTCACGTACTGCAGAAATCTAATCTGCATTAGAATCTGTTTCCTGTGGAAAAAGCCAAGGGTCATCAGCACAACAAAGGAGATGTCTTGAAGTTGAGATGCACCACAAGAGAATTCCAGGAGATAGCAATAAAGTTTCAAATGTCGTTACACCCACAGTAACCAGCCCCTTGCTACATGCAGCCAATAGGGAGAAGTTAGAGGATGGATCTGGTATATCAGGTGAGATTACGAGCAGGCAAGCACCTCCCTCTTGGTTTTTACTATATAGCGAAAAGCACACTTTCTGTCTGGTCTCTTTGACTTGCCTTGCCTTGCATTGCCTTGCTCCCTGCCTTTGCCATGCTGCTAGAGAGAGAGAGAGAGAGAGAGAGAGAGAGAGAGAAAGCTGAATAAGGCATAGGGCAGAAGCCTTGCTTTGCTTTCTGCTGGTATGCTGAGCTATGCTTAGCTGAACAAAGCAGATAGCTGAAGCCTTGTTTTAAAGGTGGGAACCAGCCTCATTCCACTAACTACCATGCTGCTGCTAGAGAGAGAGACAGAGCTTCGGCTGCTTCTGATGTGGGTCGGCTGGCCATGCATCATAAACCCCCCAATCTTTCCTTAAAATGAAGCTCTATATTGGATATCTCTAAAATGCGCAATTAGAGATATCCAGACCACATCAGCCACATGTTCTGGAGACGTGGAGCGAGAGCACCAAACCCCAGGGATGCTTCCCTTCCCCTTCCAATCAATACCTGCAACAGACCTGGACTTCCAGAATGGGTGAGCATACAATCTTTCAGCCTCATCCCTATTTCTAAGTAACTAAAGTAACTATTTTTGTATTTCTTTCTATAATACTAAAGGAACTTGTATGATTGTGCGTGTGATTCTGTTATTGTATGTATGTGAGCCAAATATTATTACTCAGTAAAAACAACAACTTGATTTCAAGATACAAGCCTTGTCTCCATTTATAACTGGGAAGTTCTTCATGGGAGAATTTGACTCCTGTATAAACAGGCTAAAAGACCACCAAACATTTATTTATCTTGCCTTTGCTGTAGATAAAGCAATCAGGCTAACAATGGGCCTTTGGCCTGATCCAACATTGGCTTCTCTTATGTTCTTATGTAACCATAAGAAAGCTCTGTAGATAAATGTGCATTTTTTCTCACAAAAACATAGCAAACCATATCATTTTTAAAAAGTCCTTATTTTCCTGGTCTTTTCTATATGCAGCCTAATGAACTTACCTTGGCCCTTCTGCCCAGTGAAAAATATCAGGTTATCTTGAAGTGATGAATTGTCATTCACCAACCGAAATCTCAGATGGAATTTGTAGTAGAGGCTGATATTTGGAATTGCTGAATAAGCTAGGAATGAAGTATAGCCAAAGGCATCTGTACCACTGAAGCTAGGAGAAGTAATATTAATAGCTGTTGGGAAAAAAGAGGACATTCGGTACTTGGGCAAATGAAACAGAAAAGAATGCATTAATGCTTACATTTAAAATACTCTTTCTAATTAATAAGAAAACTGTGATTTTAATTAGGTAATTAGTTGAGAATATGAAAAATATTATATCATCACAATGACGAAATTTTCCCTTCCCTGACCTCTGTGTCAAAGCTGGTAGTTTCTTGCTTTTTTGTGGGGTGTGTTTGTGGGTGATTAGTACTCATGTTGCACAGTTTCAGCCTCTTCACAAACCAGGTGGGCAGAACTGTATTCATTGAATTTTGACAGCCCTTTTGAAAAGTTTTTCACATGTGCTTTAAATGAAGATCCAACTTACAGATAAGTGAAAGCAAGGGTGGATTTAAACCAGAAATTTAAAAACTCGTCCCAACATGGGAGACCAAATGGGAGACCATTTAATTTATTTATTATTGTGTTTGTAAATCGACTATCCCTTGTGGTTGAAGGCTGTAAACCAATATATTATGCCATAAAATCTATTTAAAAATTAAAACATATCTGTACATCAATAATATACAACCGCATACCGAGGGGGTGATTTCTAGATGTAGTCTCTCTTTATACAAATATCCCACAGAACAAGGCTCGATCTTTTGTATGAAGTGTTTGACAGGAGGGAGCATCACTCCAGTCCACCTTCATCCCTTCTGTGCCAGACTGCTGGATTATGTTTGAAGAAAGACTTTTTTCAGTTTCAAAGATAATTTTTCTGGCAAATCTCTGGCACAGCTATGGGATGTAAATTTGCTCCAGAGTTGGCCAACTTAGTTATGGATAATTTTGAAAACAACTATATTCTCCAGGATAACAATATTTATAGAGAATATATTGTTCTCTACAAAAGATTCTTGGATGACATCTTTATTATTTGGAAAGGGACTAAAGAATTCCTTACCAGTTTTGGCTACTTCATTAACAGCATACACAACACAATCAAATTTGACATGACCGTTGATAAATCCAAACTGATGTTTTTAGATGTGTACAGAAAACCAATGGATGCAAATTGCTTTTTAGCAGGGACAGTTTCCATCCATTCCTCTAAAAAAGAATGTGCCATATTCCCGACTCCTTAGGTTAAGAAGGAATTGTAGCCTGGATACAGATTTTCAAGCCCAGATATTGATGGGTCAATTCTCAGATAGAGGGTATTCATGAAGAATCCTAAAACAAGTATTTTTCAAGGGGGAAAAAATCCCCAGATTATTTTCATCAATACCTGACATTAGGAAACAGGATGGTTACTCCCTTGACCTATAATAGCACTTACAAACAAGTTCCGGAAGTTATAGAAAAATATTTGTATCTCCAATCTGATACTCCAAGGTATAAATTTCCTCCTCTGTTCAGCTTTGAACAATCCATGAATATGTTGGTTAGAAGCAGATTACGATAATTCACTACAGACAACACCACAGTTGAGCAGAGGAAAATGCCCAAAGGTTTTTTTTTCCCTTGTGAGCATTGCTCTGTTATGTCCTCTGAACTGTAACAAGAACTTTCCAGAATTAATCTAAAAACAGAACCTTTTACATAAACTCATTTGTGAATTGTAATTCATGGGATGTATTTTATATTATCCATTGCCTCTGTGGCTTAATGTATGTAGGTCTGACAATCAAATCTTCAAGAGTTATATCTGTGAGCACAAAAGCTGTATTAGAATGAAAACACAGCAGGGTCCACTTGTTAAACATTTTTTGACCTTCAGAGTTCTGATAAGCAGCTGAAATTCGGGATAGTGGAATGCCTGCTTGCTTTTTCTTTCAAGTATACAGACTCCCAAGGAAAAGAGAGATGTTTTGGATCATTAATTTGCAGACATTAACATCATAAGGACTGAATGAGTCTATTGATTGGATGTATGTACAGTGAAGTATGATTATTCTGTAAATTCCTCTTTCTGAATATTTTTGTACTTCTGGCCTTTTGCTTCTCCCCCCTCGCCCTTGCTGCTCAGGTCCTTTTGCATTGTCTTCAGTCTTCGCCTACATATTATGCCTGAGTTCATCACTTTTGGTATTTTGTCAGATTGCTGGTTGATGTACAACACAACACAAGGATATGAACTGCCAAAATTAGGTTGGTAAGACATTTCATTTATTTATTAGATGTTTTCATTAAGATTATTTTGTTAGTACAACTAATATATGAAATTAATACTATTGTTTGTTTGGAGTTTGGTGGGGTTTTTGCGGTTTTAGATATAATTTACAATCATATGTTTTTATGTGTAGTTCCTAATTTTGGGTGTATTTGACCTTCCAGGTTCCCCAAAGAACTGACATAAGCTACATGAAAAGGAACAATACAGGTTTATTTACATCTTGTTAATTGTTTCTATGACTAAATATGGTAAATGCTGCTTTGCATTATTTTATGCTAGAAACATTCAGATTTCATGGCATGTCTGTAATAAAATATTGCATGCAAAAAATCTTATATTTAATAGTTAAGTGTGGGACCATCTGTGGATACTTAAATTAGTGGATCATGGCTACACTGACACAGCACAGATACTTCTGAAAATTTGGGGGATCCACCCAGGTTTGCAGAAAAATATGAAAACCTTAAAAAATTACATGTGGGAGGTTTAAATCCCCCCAAAATAAAGAGTGTTGTCTGTGTACATGCAGACAATGGATTTAATTTCTGTGTCCCTGGCTCAGTCTGGGAGCTGCTGTGGCTCTGGCAGCAGCAGCATACTCCAGGAGCCACTTCAGGACTGGCAGTGGTGTCAGTGGAGTTTGTGAGCCACTCAGGGCTTGGCAGTGGTAGTGACACAGTACAAAAGCCACTCTGGGCCCAGTGGTGGCCTAGTCTGGGACCCATCTGCAGTAGGGATGTGCATGCACCTATATCTGAGCCGGAAAATAGCTAAATATATATTTGAGTATTTTTTCAGCTATCCAAAAGAGTCAAGCCCCCAAAATCTCGAAAATATTTAGGATCTTTTTTGGATCACCAGATAAGCAAAGTTAAAGGGCATTTATAGAGATCACAGTCCCATCAGACCCCTGGATTCCCCCAGATGGATTTTTCACTATACTTTATGGGGACCATTGACTATAACGGTCCCCATAGAGTAAAATGGGGCCAAATAAAATTGGATTTCAGCACACAACACACAACACACAACACACCTTTATTGGCATAACAACAGCAGCAGCCTTAGGTACAGAGGTGGTAGGCACACAAAATAGTTAATTCACTATCCCTTCTGCCAAAAAAGATCTTCTCCTCCTATTCTCCTCCTATATGCTCTGTAAAGGAAGTTTGACACCTCTTCGATGGTATCATCCCTGTTTGAGGCTAGAAGGTTCATTATTTTACTTTCCTCAGATTTGCCCTCCAGGGTTTGCAGTATAGGGCCGAGGTGATAAGCACGCAAATCCTGGTAAAATCTACAAGTCAGAAGTACATGGTCCATTCCTTCAATTCCTTTAGCTCACAAGGACATAACCTACCCGGGAATGGTATTTTTTTAAAATCTCCCATATAACACAGCTGAGGGGAGCACATTAAAATGGGCCAGCATGAATACCCTTCTAATATAGGGATCAATAAGACAGGAAAAATACTCTGGCAGCGGCCCATTAAGAGAAATCCACCAATGAATGGGAGAGCAATGACCAGTAGCAAGGATTCTAAGTTCTTGCATTTCTATGGCTGCGGTCACACAGGCGGGAAACTGCGGGGAGGGAGCGTGGCTATTTGCACCAGGGCAACATACCTCGCGGCAGCGGGATCAGACGTCCCGGCGAGGTCCCATGGATTAGGTGGAGGTGCCGATCACACGAGCATCCGCACCTCCAGCAAGAGCCGATGGGAAGGGGACGGAAAGAGCTGCCCCCTCTGGGAGGGCCGTGCACAGCCCACCCTGGGCAGGGTCCAAAAGCCAAAAGCGTACTTCTCCAAAAGAAGGATCAAATCATCCATGCTGAGCCCCATCAGTGTAATTTTCCCTTCAACAAATTAGATTTCTGAAAAATCCCAAATCCAAATACCATACCTGGTGGAACGAGCTCCCGGAAGATACTAGGGCCCTGTGGGACCTTTTACAGTTCCGGAGGGCCTGTAAAACAGAGCTCTTACACCCAGCCTTTAGTTAAGGAGCCACATCCAACAACTAAGACCCTGTGCCCAGTGCCACCATCAATAGCCCAAGCTTTGCCAAAATGTAATAACAACCGCTGACTGTATTTTTTAGTATGCCTGTTGCTATTACTACCTCACCATCACCGTATAAACTGATACTAGCACTTTAAGTCTTGTTTTTATAGCTATATTTATCATTGTTGTTTTACTTGTCAAATTTTATGTAAGCCTGCCCTGAGCCTGCCCTGGCGGGGAGGAGAGGATATAAATCAAATAAATAAATATGAGTATTGGGATTCTGGAATATTGGAAAATACTGATTTGGGGGGGTTTTTTCAATATCCCTGAACCCCAAAATAGTGGGGGTTTTGCACAGACCTTATCTGCAGAGGCTGGAGCTGGGTCAGCAATGGGGGTCATGGCAGGGAACCATTTCTGGACTCAGTGGGCAAGTGGCGGGGGGAGTACTGTATGAGATTCCCCCTGCAAGTCTCCCAGGCTTCCACAGGTATTATATCATTTGGGTCAAGAGCACCAAGGACTAAGACAGTCATCTGATCAACCATAGCTTCTTCCAAGACACCACCAGGAGGCGAAACGACCTCTCCTCCAAACATTTGTTATGGTAATTGTTTCATCCTTTGCAATTTTTAAAATCATTCTTCAAGTCTCTGTTTTTCTTACGTCGCACAGTCGAGTCCAACTGTTCCGAGTCC